TCCTCTCCTCCCTTGGTCTGTCTTTGCTAGCTGGCCACTCCTCATCCTTTGTCCTGTGTCCTGTATTTTAAGAAAAAAAAGTATTTAATATTTTATACAAAGGCAACCAAGCCTGATAAGTGTATTTGTGATCATTATAAAAGGAAGAAAATAGGAAACTTTATAAAAATCAGAAGCTCTTCAACTGGCTGTAGTTTTATTTATACAGTAGTGTAATGTGCTCTCATTACAATGTTTCCTGGGCTCCCAGAATATCCTTCAACTGTTAACTAGACATGTCCCTTTTCAGTATTTTGGTAATGAGCAGTTTCCTTTTAGGGGATTTAAAAGTACAGTGCGTTTGTAATTAACTGATAAGCTGTTTGACAGCTTTTCCGGTAAACACTTGATAAACGTACAGTAAAGTCTTATAAATGGATATGAATGTTGCTAGTGTTGCACAGTAAATTATATGTACTTTTATTTTAACAAGTTAAATGTACTATAGTCATGATTTATAATATTGCAATTAAATAAGGGTTTTGATAGCCACAATACCATACTCAATTATCACTTATCGTGATCATTGTCCCCGATTAATGCACATGATTGTAATAAATATCCCAAATAAAATGAAACATCGTCTACCATTTCCTGTTTCAAACGCTTGACTTTCACACAAATGATTTTATTAAGATTTCATAAAAAACTTCCAGTCATGTAAAATCATAAGATTAATTTATATCAATTTTTTTCTTTTGATATTTTTCATATTTGAACACATTATTGTAGTACAGTACAGTACTTGCTGTATATTTAAGGAGTGCCTGCCTTTTTCTTCCATAATTTTTTAGGCACAAGTTTAGAGCATTGGTGATTCTATCATACTGAGAGACCAGTTCCTCATAAAGTCTGTAGTCTTGTTAATGTGAAGGTTTTGACATGTACTCGCCTATTTGTACTCGCCTATTTGTGTTTGCGGGGGTTGAGCTCTGGCTCTTTGGTCCCGCCTCTCAACTGTCGATCAACTGGTGTACAGGTTCCTGAGCCTATTGGGCTCTTTATCATATCAACACTTGAAACTGTTTATGGAGTCAGCCTCCACCACATCACTGCCTAATGCATTCCATTTGTCAACTACTCTGACACTAAAAAAATTCTTTCTAATATCTCTGTGGCTCATTTGGGCACTCGGTTTCCACCTGTGTTCCCTAGTGCGTGTGCCCCTTGTGTTAAATAGCCCGTTTATTTACTGTCCTCATAAGGACAGTAGTTTATATTTGCTTATTAATGCTTGGATATTTTTTTTTTATCCAGGATTGCAATATTCAATGTTTTTATAATGAAGTAAAGAGTATTTATTACAACTGTTTAATTTCTCTTAATTGTCTTGGTTATGTTTTGTTTTTGCTATCTTACGTTAATTATTATCTTATCAAATTTGTTTTATCATTATATAACCACCCATGTCAGTAAGCGATAGTACAAGATACGTTGGTTAACAGAGCATTGCACTGTTGGCGCTGCAAATAAGCTTGTTTACAAGTATAAAGATGTTTAGCTCCAGGTGTATACATTTTTGGAAAAGTATTTCCTTTTGCATCAGGAAAATGTCTGTCCCTCCTATCCTCCCTATTGATGGGTTGATAATTTGATTGTATAACTGTTAAAGCTGTTTACAGCAGAATATATTGTAAACAGTATATAAATTGTAAACATATAATACTCCCTGTAAATTTTGGGTAAATTGGTATGTATAGAGGGTGAAGTAATAAAAGTAAATAGTACTTTTGCCCACACTCTCACACTCACACACAAATGTAGATATGATAGAGCCCAGTAGGCTCAGGAATCTGTACACCGCAAGATATAATCCAGCTTAGGGTCCCAGATATTGTTGCATTATCAGAAACGAAACTTGAAGGAAATATAATAAATGAAGTCATATTCCCAAGAGGCTACTCAGTTTGGAGACGTGACAGGAAAACTAGGAAGGGAGGAGGAGTGGCTGGACTGGTGAAAAAACACCTGAAGGTAAAAGAGTTAATATTTGAAAACCCTCGAGATATTGACATAATTGCATTGCAGGTCTGGAATCAGGATGATAACCTGATAATTGTAAATGCCTACAGCCCACCAGCAAGCAACACGTGGACAAAGGAAGAACTGGATGACAAACGAGAGGGCCTCATAATGGTCATGAGAGATATTATTGTACAAGCAGATAAAGATAAATCACGACTGTTGATACTGGGGGACTTCAACTTTAGAGCAATAGACTGGGAGGCCTATGAAGCAAGAACGGAGGACTTTTGGACATGCAGATTTGTGAACCTCATTCTGGAGACATTCTTGTATCAACACATAAAGCAAGCCACAAGAATGAGGGAAGGAGATATACCGTCAGTACTGGATTTAGTATTCACCAGGAAAGAAGAGATTTTTGACATCCAGTACCTTCCTCCCTTGGGAAAGAGTGATCACGTCCTGTTAGACATTAAATATGCTTTAAGATATCATCTAGAAGAAAATGGGGACATTGAAACAGTTGATAAACTCGATTTAAAGAGAGGCAACTATGGGGAACTTCGAAATTTTTTTAATGTGTAATTGGACAGAATTGTTGCTAGGCAGGGAAGTAAATGAAATGTATGCCAAATTTTTAAAACTATACGAGGAAGGCACACAAACATTCATACCAAAACAGAGATGCAGGACCAGAAAACAGGATTGGTTCGACAGAAATTGTGAGAGGGCAAGAGACCAAAAGACACAAAAATGGAATCAGTATAGGAAGAGGCCAAACCCCCAAACATACCAGCGATACAAAGATGCGAGAAACAATTATACAGCAGTAAGGAGAGAGGCAGAAAGAAATTTTGAAAAAGGGATAGCAGATAAATGTAAAACAGAACCGGGCCTATTCTACAAATTCATAAACAACAAATTGCAGGTAAAGGATAATATCCAGAGGTCGAAAATGGGAAACAGATTCACGGAAAATGAAAAGGAAATGTGTGAAACATTAAATGAAAAGTTCCAAAGTGTGTTTGTACAAAATGAAATCTTCAGAGAACCAGACACAATAAGAATTCCAGAGAACAACATAGAGCGGATAGAGGTGTCTAGAGATGAAGTGGAAAATATGCTAAAGGAGCTCGGGAGGAACAAAGCAGCTGGCCCAGATGGAGTTTCACCATGGGTTCTGAGAGAATGTGCATCTGAGCTCAGCATTCCATTTCACCTGATCTTTCAGGCATCCCTGTGTACAGGAATCGTAGCAGACGTGTGGAAACAGGCTAACATAGTTCCAATCTACAAAAGTGGCAGCAGGGAAGACCCCTCAATTATAGACCCATATCATTGACAAGTGTAATAGTGAAAGTATTGGAAAAGCTAATCAAAACTAAATGGGTAGAACACCTGGAGAGAAATGATATAATATCAGACAGACAGTATGGTTTTCGATCAGGAAGATCCTGTGTATCGAATTTACTCAGTTTCTATGATCGGGCCACAGAGATATTACAGGAAAGAGATGGCTGGGTTGACTGCATCTATCTGGACCTAAAAAAGGCTTTCGACAGAGTTCCACATAAGAGGTTGTTCTGGAAACTGGAAAATATTGGAGGGGTGACAGGTAAGCTTCTATCATGGATGAAAAATTTTCCGACTGATAGAAAAATGAGGGCAGTAATCAGAGGCAATGTATCGGAATGGAGAAATGTCACAAGTGGAGTACCACAGGGTTCAGTTCTTGCACCAGTGATGTTTATTGTGTACATAAATGATCTACCAGTTGGTATACAGAATTATATGAACATGTTTGCTGATGATGCTAAGATAATAGGAAGGATAAGAAATTTAGATGATTGTCATGCCCTTCAAGAAGACCTGGACAATAAGTATATGGAGCACCACCTGGCAAATGGAATTTAATGTTAATAAATGTCATGTTATGGAATGTGGAATAGGAGAACATAGACCCCATACAACCTATACTGTATATTATGTGAGAAATCTTTAAAGAATTCTGATAAAGAAAGAGATTAGGGGTGGTTCTAGATAGAAAACTATCACCTGAGGACCACAAAGAATATTGTGCAAGGAGCCTATGCGATGCTTTCTAACTTCAGAATTGCATTTAAATACATGGATGGCGATATACTAAAGAAATTGTTCATGACTTTTGTTAGGCCAAAGCTAGAATATGCAGTTGTTGTGTGGTGCCCATATCTTAAGAAGCACATCAACAAACTGGAAAAGGTGCAAAGACATGCTACGAAGTGGCTCCCAGAACTGAAGGGCAAGAGCTACGAGGAGAGGTTGGAAGCATTAAACATGCCAAAACTAGAAGACAGAAGAAAGAGGTGATATGATCACTACGTACAAAATAGTAACAGGAATTGATAAAATCGACAGGGAAGGATTCCTGAGACCTGGCACTTCAAGAACAAGAGGTCATAGATTTAAACTAGCTAAACACAGATGCCGAAGAAATATAAGAAAATTCACCTTCGCAAATAGAGTGGTAGACGGTTGGAACAAGTTAAGTGAGAAGGTGGTGGAGGCCAAGACCGTCAGTAGTTTCAAAGCGTTATATGACAAAGAGTGCTGGGAAGACGGGACACCACGAGCGTAGCTTGATTGACAGTTGAGAGGCGGGACCGAAGAGCCAAAGCTCAACCCCTGCAAGCACAAATAGGCGCGTACAAATAAGTGAGTACTAACACTCACTCACTCACTCTGGAACAAATTATAGAGCCCTATAGCAAAATTTTGTAGAGTATCCTATTTCTTTTTTGATCATAAAGCCTTTCAGATTATAGAAACTGCATTTGGACAAATAACTAATGTGGATAATGCTCACTTGAGGGGTTCACCCTAATGAATTACAGCACATACTTTATGGAAATTTATATTGCATTGATAAACTTTTCTCGTTATAGTCTAAATACTGCACTACAGTACTGTATTTAAATTTTTTATGAAACTTTAATAATGCAATGTGTTTGGCACAGGAGGTGGCGATCAAACTGGAGGCCATGAAGGCGCGGCATCCCCAGCTCCTATACGAGAGTAAAGTCTACAAGATCCTCCAGGGAGGTGTTGGTATTCCACACATCAGGTCAGTCCAACTTGGATCTTTCCATGTAGGTTTTTTTCTTTCCCCCTACAAATTTTGTAATGGAAACTGAAACACGAGCATTGGATTTTCTGTGTAGAGGTTTGGAAAGTCCCCTTCATTTTCAAGACATGTTAATGTTTGAAGTGCATGTCCAGTATAGTAGTGCATATGAAAATGAAAGGTATTTTGCATACATTGACACAATTTTGTGCGAATGTCTGTCACTATAGTAGTAAAATATTTAGGGGGAACTAATATTAGGGATAGTTGATAAAATCATTTTAGGATGTTTTTGGTTTAAATAGGGAAAGAATAGGAAAATCAGGTCTTTCAATGGGCCACACAAAATGTTTAATAAAGACTAGTTTCAGCTGCTTGACTATTGAAGAAACAATACAGGTACATATAAAAATGGTAATCACATAAAATGCAGTAGACATGTATTATAAAACAAAAAAAGCAATGCAAAAGATCTGGAAGTAAGCATGTCAGAAAACCTTAACTTTACAGAACACAATAAAGTAGCTGTGACAACTTAAAGAAAAATGATAGATTGGATAACAAAAGCCTCTCAAAGAAGAAATGCTATTCCAGTGATAATACTTTTAGAAACGCTAGTGAAATGTGAAATTCCTAAAGTGAAATATTGTTGCACATTAACAGCCCTATTCAAAACTTGAGAATTTGCTGACCTAGAGAGCATGCAAAGATCATTTACTGCTAAAATGCACTCTCTAACACATCTAAATTATTCGAACTGATAAAGATCTTTAAATCTGTATTCTCTTGCGCGCAGGCGAGAGATATACCGTAAATTATAATCTACACTTGGAAAATATTAGAGAAACTGGTTCCAAATCTGCACACAGAACTATCACAAAAAACTAGGAGGCATGGCAGGATGTGCAGAATATCCCTGTTGAAAACCTGAGGTATAATAGGTACACACGGTGAACTCTTTATCAACATCAAAGGCCCAAGACTGTTCAACACATTCCCTCTACACATAAGGAGCATAACTGGCTAGCCTCTTATGGTGTTAAAAAAAAAAAATCGACAAACACCTCCAAAGGATACCTGATCAAACAGGCTGTGAACAACCGCATCAAACAGCCTGATTGACCAGACCACCAACCAGAAGTCCCGGGATTGTTGATCCTTGGAATCACCGCAAGATAACTGTAAGGTAAGGTAGCCTGATTGCTAAAATTGGCAGAGATGTTACTCGTTAGCAAGTAAAGATATCATCTCATTTAAATCTGCATTTTGAGTATTAAAAGTTGTCTTCAGTATTTTGTGACATTAGAAGAGCTAGTTTAATTTTGATGTACAACATGGAATGCTGAACAAAAGTTATAGATTTGTGTTAATGTCCATGTTTTCTAACCTTTTCTTTATTTTCCTTTCCTTTGCTCAACCCATTGAGTATAATTGTATTTACATTTCAATTTTTATAGTAGTATTGATCTTTAATAGTACCTCCCTTCCATGGGGCATTTTGCTCAAAACCTTCACACAACTGTGGTATATCTCCTAAGACTCATTTGAGTGTTAAAATACCACTTGTAACGGTCATCATTCCTTTTTTTTTCTTTTTCCCTATCATTGTGAAATTTAGCCCATTAACATGTCCTTGTAACTTTTCTTTCGTCTTTGGGACTAACCTTGTGGCAAATCTCTGTACCTTCCTGACCTTTCTCAGGTGCTTGTAATGATGTGGGTTCAAAGCTGGTTTTGTTTATTAAAGTGTCGATCTTGCATATGTGGTGTACAGTGTTCAGAGGTTTCTTGTTTAGATTTTTGTAGTGTCTTGTATTTTACCATGCTGTGCGTGCTTGTGTTGTACATACACATTTATGTACAGTACCTATTTGTAGTTACAAGGATAGCTATGCTAGTGTTTGTCATCCTTGTATACTTTATCATAATTAAAACTAAACCTTCCTGTAATTTTAGTACATAAGCATGAGTTTTTACCCATCGACTGTGTGTGTGTGTGTGTGTGTGTGTGTGTGTGTGTGTGTACAGTATATAATATAATAATAAATATGTACAGTAGTTTACTGTATTTCATCCTTCGATGCTTTTTCTTTAGTTTACAACTGCAGCCTCATCTTGTTCCTGCTGATGCTAAATCACTGTATCCCTGTTTGTCAACTACTGTATTAGTTGTTGCAAGTGTAAGTGTTGTCCCGTCAGTGTAATTCCCCTCTCCCATCAATCTCCTCCCTTTTCCCCCTCGGCAGTAATATCCAATAACCTATTCTTTGTAAAGTATTTTGTTTTGGTTGATTTTTTTTATCACAAAGGGAATATGTTGTTTTCTCAAACAAGATTTGTATTTTGTATGCAGTAATATTAATATACTGTACAGTGAAATCACATTAACGTGATGTAACAGTGAGAAAATCAGTGGTCTGGTGCACTTGCTTGGGAGTACAAAGTGAGCGGGTTAGAGTCCTCCTCATGGCTTCTACTGATTTTCTAATGATAAATATTTTGTAATAAACTCTCTGATTTATAGTAGTGATTGTAATTTATGTACTTTTTCATTGCTTCTGTTTAGTTTACTTCAGCAGATTGTTAGGATGAGAAAAATGATTAGGGCTTGCTCATTTTTATTGCCTATGCTTCCAAATTTTATTGCGTCAGGTTAATAGTTATGACATAAGTATACCTGGTTGATACCTTGTTGATAGGGTTCTGGGAGTTCTTCTACTCTCCAAGCCCGGCCCGAGGCCAGGCTTGACTTGAGAGTTTGGTCCACCAGGCTGTTGCTTGGAGCGGCCCGCAGGCCCACATACCCACCACAGCCCGGTTGGTCCGGCACTCCTTGGAGGAATATCAAACAGTTCTCGGTACTGATTGCCACCGGTTGGGCTTTTTGTATATATTTGTAAGGGATGATACCAATTAATGTGATTGCATGTGGTGGTGTGTGGCATCCCTGGTGTCAGTAGCTGAGGAGGTTTCTCTAATGAGATTACAAGTTGTGGTGTGGTGCAGCATGGACGAGCAGACATGGATGGGAAAAATCTTTTTTTATTCTATTTCTTGCTTGTACTTCTCAAGCTGCATTTTGCTGGTTACATGTTTTTTTCGAGATAGATTGATCATGATGTAGTGGTGGTTGTTTGTGGGGTAAAATGTTTGTTGAGGTAATACATTTTTTTTGTTTTAAGAAGGCCTTGTACAGTTTCATTACTTAATTTCCCATTTTCATTTGGTGCAGCAGCACCAGTTGGAAGAATAAAGGGGGAGTATTATGGGGAATATCGGATATTAATAAATAGCAGTTGTCTGTTCATTATCTTATTCTTCCTGTCTGAATTGACAATCATTACTTCCAGTTAAACACTTTTATTATAGTTTATTACAAAGTTGAGTAATTTTAACATTCTGCCTAAAAGGGCTTTCTCTAATCTATACAGAGCTCATGCTTGTATAGGGACAAAAAATAGAGGGGCTGTTGAAGGAGGGGTGGGGCAGGTTGGGTGTAGGTAGTTAGTTGACCAAACCACACACTAGAAGGTGAAGGGACGACGACGTTTCGGTCCGGCCTGGACCATTCTAAAGTCGATTGTGACTTGAGAATGTCACAATCGACTTGAGAATGGTCCAGGATGGACTGAAACGTCATCATCCCTTCACCTTCTAGTGTGTGGTTTGGTCAACATACTTTAGCCACATTATTGTGACTCATCGCCTGCACATGTAGGTAGTCAATTTTTTTATTTCTGAAAGTGTTAATTGTTAATTATCTTTGGGAGACTTGGTAGTATTATACTAAGGTGAAGTATTAATCACCACTTGTAAAGTTGTGTAGCTTTCAGTTTGGTACAGTATAGTGCCATCTTTGTCACATTATATATATATATATAGGGTGTTTCAATTTCTTTTTTCAAAAAAGAAAAGTACAGTATACATAAAAGCAGCCACAAATTATGGTAGCTTATAATTTGGACATATTAAAATAACTCGCACTATATATTTATCAGTTATATTAGCCATAATGCTTAGTTTTAAATAGGAATACCTAGAGGCCGGTGGTTACATTGGTTTTTATTCCTTTGTCCAGAAAATAACATACACTCAATAGGAATGAAAACTGCTCTTAATAAAAACTAATACTTATTGCAATAATTAACACATTCATTGCATAAAAAGTTTGATGCACTCCATAGATTACACAAACTTGTAATGACTAAATAAAATGGTCGCATTCAAAGTACTATATCTGTCCATTTTTATGGTACAAGAGAAAGTGGTGGTGCCCCCCTCCCCCTGGTGCTGGTAGGCCCTTAGCCATGGCCTACTTGGTCTATTGGGTAATCCAGCCTCCAGATAAGTACTGCACTTCTTAGATGGAAGCACAGTTCATTAAATTATTTGCCAAGTCAATCATTTTTAAACTACCTGTATATATAATGATTTTTTTCCTATTAAAATGGTATAGGTTAATTGTTATATAATACCCTGAGTTTTAATATAATTATATCAATGCAGAATAATTACTGTACAATTTGATAAATTTGGTATTTACTGGCTCTTTAAATTTATGCAAGGCAATGCTGAAGTGCATAGGATGGCCATAGGGAAGTAGGTGAAGTTTACAGCAAGCTATTTTGGTGGTACAGTATCTTCACCACTTGTATGTGCTGGGAGTGTTGGCTCTGGCTTGTGCTGTACCCCCTGCTTCAGATAATCTTGCTCGCCACTTGGTTTTTGTTTGTTTGGCACACAACTGTAAATTGAGGCTTCTGCTGGGGCGCCTGCCCTGGGAGCGGCGTACCCTGCCGCCGGGGCGCCTGCCCTGGGAGCGGCGTACCCTGCCGCCGGGGCGCCTGCCCTGGGAGCGGCGTACCCTGCCGCCGGGGCGCCTGCCCTGGGAGCGGCGTACCCTGCCGCCGGGGCACCTGCCCTGGGAGCGGCGTACCCTGCCGCCGGGGCGCCTGCCCTGGGAGCGGCGTACCCTGCCGCCGGGGCGCCTGCCCTGGGAG